GCTGTATTCGATCAAAAGGGTGCTTCTACTAAATACTGAGCAAAGGGTCTGAATACTTAGGACCATGTGATATTTCAGTTTTTCTTTTTTAATAAATCTGCAAAAATGTCAACAATTCTGTGTTTTTCTGTCAATATGGGGTGCTGTGTGTACATTGAGGAAAAAAAATTTACTTAAATGATTTTAGCAAATGGCTGCAATATAACAGAGTGAAAAATTTAAGGGGGTCTGAATACTTTCCGTACCCACTGTATATATACACCTTGCTACGTGTACTGTTAGACTAACCGAGACTTGTCATTTGCACTTATATATTGCTGCTCTTTTGTTAGTTTTGACTGCTTTTATTGTCCTCATTTGTAAGTCGCTTTGGATAAAAGCGTCTGCTAAATGACTAAAATAAAAAATAAATATAACACGTGCATCAACGTTTTAGAAATATATTTTTTCTGTTCAACAAACAGTTCCATTTCTTAAAACAACAAAAAAAGATTTTTCTTTTTATCGTTTCATAAGTCAGGCTTTACAGGGGTAAATTAACTACATGAAATGAGAGTTAACACATAGTAAAAACGCATATATTGCTCACCTGAGTCCCTTCCCCTGGAAGAGTCCTGCATGAAGAGCTTGACCCCGCTAGCTGAGATGATGATGATGATGACAATGAGGTCATGATTGACTTAAGAACTGTGAGGAAACATATTTATATTCAGAACAACGACAACGTCTGTTTTATTTATACCCACAAAGGGCTGTCTTTCAAAACCTAGTGAGCTGTCTAACTAGACAGCATTTCTGGACATCATAGATGACATCTCAATAGAAATAAAATGCATGTTAATAATATATATGCAGTGCACTCGAGTGTTAACTATGGCAAAAAAGAAAATAGATAAATAAAGCTAATGTATTTTCCTAATTAAGACGTATTGAATGTTAAAATGCATTTTAAACAAAGTTAAGTGGTTATCATTACCCATTTTACTCTTAGTAATTTAATAATTTAATACATTTCATCATTTAAAAGTTTAATTCAGAAGTATCGTATCGGTATCGACGATACTGCCTTGAAAAATATCGGTATCGTATCGAAAACAAAATAAGTGGTATTGCCCATCCCTATCTAGCAGCGACTTTTGATGAGGGTGCTGTGGGCGTTCTACTGTTTGCATCGACAGCGAATCAGGTTTCTTGCCGCTAGGATTATATTACGTTTTATTAGATTAGATTAGATTATTTTAAATTAGAATTGAATTGAATTTTTAAAGGATAAGTGTCTGTGACCTGTTAAAAAATGGGGGATTAATTTTACATGCGCAAAAAGCAGCAAACAACAGAACATGAGGATTCACATGGTCTTCATATCACATCACGCACCTGCAGCGAGCGGAGAAAAACCTAATAAAGCTAGGGAAACATTTTTACTTAAATTATAAAAGAGTATGACAATTAGATTAGACTGTGCAGAAATTGAATTCTACACACTAATACACACAAGGCTACTCATAGTCACCAATGCTGATGTTGTTAACATTAATCATTTGAGAATAAAGTATAACAATAATAATCATTTGCACGGTTTGATGTGATATGAGCTAACCGATCTTTTGATTTAATCACCATTGGTAGTGAGATTTATGGTAATGCTTTTTTCCTCAGTTGGTCAGAACAAACGTGGCAGACTTGTTACTTACTTGTTCAGATGGCAATATCTGGTGAAAATTCTTATTTGGGTCATATTCCAAGACGTAAGCTAGAATCTGTGATTGCGAAGTACAGTAAATATCCACACCGGTGCGGTGACTGACTGCCACACATAGATACTCTTCAGAACATTAGATTCATCCGGCGGTGGAGCCGGGCCCACTCACAACCCACGCAAGCTAGTTAATTCCGCACACAGCTGCAATTGCAGGTTTTCAAACAAAACTTACGAACTGCAGCTTTAACCATGCAGCAAACCGTTTTAAATATTTTGATAAATTACTGAAAAAATAAACAATTAAATGACTTTTACAACCGTTTAACTGATTGTATTAATCGGTCAAAATTCGTATTGTCGGTTAACCGCTTAAAATGAACATCCCTAGCTAGGACAATTTTTAATATAACTCCGACTGGATTCGTCTGAAAGAAGAAAGTCATATACACCTAGGATGCCTCGGGGGTGAGTAAAGCAGCCTAATTTTCATTTTTGGGTGAATTAACCCTTTAATCATTTTCATTTAAACCAGGCAGGGTTACCTGTACTCAAAAATTATTATTGTCAGACTTTCAAATCCTTTCAAAATTAAGATTATAATATTTTAATTTTAAAATCACCACCACAAAAATAAATAAAATAAAATAAAAGGCATTTAGCACCTCTTTTTACTTTGAGATCTCTGAGGTTAAATACAGATTTAAAATCATAAGATATAGTTTCATAGTTTTGATACCGTTTTTGAAATCAAATCCTTGATTTGGGGGGGGGGGGGACAGTTAATCTAAAAAAATAAAGCATATACATAAACCCAAATAGGAAATAAATCAGTTATTGAATAATCATGTGTCCTAATAAACTCCTGAAATATTGGTGTCTCATATTTTAAAGCAGTCAATGCAATTTGGGAAAAAAATGTATCAACATTTTAAAAGTAAACACACATTGTTATTAAGGGGGGCATTCCCTCATTTTTTTTTAAATACTACTACTACTACATCATACAAATAGGCTACATAGGCCTACAATAGATTTCCTATGTGCATTGTTAGGAAGTCAGACAAAACACTCTTCTGAAGTTTTCTAAATATATCATATCATGGCACCTTTGCCTAGCTTTCTTCCTTTAACAAACTGAATGTTTTCCAAAGAAAAACAAAACAAGAAATCACAAGAAACCAGGACATGGGCCACATTGTATTTCAAATTCTAATGGCTTTATTTATATATAGATTTGTATATATAGTTTATATATTAACTTTGACTTCAATTGCTTGATTATCCTTTTTTTTCTTTTTTCATTTTTGTTCTGTTAGATTTAAACGACAGGACATAAAGAACAAGGCATTCCACATGATCATATATTACAAAAAAGTAAAGAAAACTTGAATGTGTGCACATCACACACATACATTACATAGATAATACACTTGCGTTAGTATAAATAATGAAATATGGGCATGACTGAATTCACTTCGACAAAAGAAAGCAAGAGTACAGAGAGCGAAACAGAGAAAGGAAAAGAGAGAGCGAGAGCGAGAGAGAGCGTTGTTATGACAGCTAAGTGAATAAATAATTCATCATATTTTAATCCAATGAATCTGTTGCATAGTTCGAAGCAAGCAGGACTGACATTTCAGCATGATAACGATTCTCACAAAAGCTAAATGAAAGAGGGGCTCAAGAAAATCTGATTTTTTTTCACCAATTAAAACACACACTGACTGAAGACACCGTTCAGACTGTCAGATCAAGAATCAAGATCTCCTCTAGCACACACACTTTGTTGTCTGAATCCAAAACACATACTCAACTATTTACTCCAAATGCGCATTGACAATTAATGAAATGGTAATTCAGCTGCTTATTGTGATTTTTCCCATTCATGCAGCATTAAGATTGACACAGCTGGGTCAACTTTACATGAATTTAGCATGATTCAAAATGAGCTCAACTCACACTTTAACAATGGAAAACAAACCAAGTAAGTGTACACTACTTTCCGACAAGAACATTTTGAGTCAACTAATAACAGTGTATCCCCCTACTGTCACCTTATAGCCCTTAAAACTACATTACATTAGGTGAGCACATATTCTCTGGCATCTTATAGAGACTGTAAACGCAAACATGACACTGGGACACATTGGGCTTTTTAGATTCACCAGTCGACATTTTCAATTCAATTATGCCAAATAAATGCAAAACATATTCACTTTCAGTTGGAATCGATTAAGGCCTCCACAATTTCCCAAAACCCATGATCAAAGACAGTTTTCTCATTTTCAATAAGTTACTCAGGACTAAATCAATCAGACACAGTGGTGCAGGTTGTCCATGTGGTCCATTGGCACTTCTGTGATCCTAGAGACGTAAAAAAAAAAAAATCACAAAACACTACATTTCTACATGACTGTAAACAGATTTTTTCCAACATTTTATCCCTCGCTAAGCAAAGCCCTTGTCCTTCAAAGAGATCTTGTTCAGTAAAAGTAACACAGAAACCTAGTTTGATTGACATGATTCTGCTTATGATGAGAATAAATGGTAATGATGTGCTTTAAACTAAACTCTTAAAAATAATGGTTCCAAAGGGGGGTACACATGCAGTGGAATGGTGAAAATGAAAGGTGTCATTTTTTTTTTTTTAATTGGAACCCGGCCCTTACTTTAACTTGAGCACTGCATTTTTAGAACACCATCTAGCAAGTTTACACACAAAAACAATGGGATTTAGTGCGGTGGAATGGATGCATTCTATGTGAACGGCGGTTCCAAAGGGGGGTACACATGCAGTGGAATGGTGAAAATGAAAGTTTTTTTTTTTTTTTTTTTTTTAAATTTGAACTATGGGCATGACTGAATTCACTTCGACAAAAGAAAGTGAATTCTTACTTTAACTTGAGCACTGCATTTTTAGAACACCATCTAGCAAGTTTACACACAAAAACAATGGGATTTAGTGCGGTGGAATGGACGCATTCTATGTGAACGGCCTCTTAGTATGAAGAACATTTCAATAATCATAATGGAATGGTTCCATGGACGTTATGGAACCATAGATGCCAATAACCTAATTTTAAGAGTGTATTTCACATGCAGTAACAAAAAAAAGACAGCTGCATTTTTGGATTGAAGAGTACACATTCATTGACTAATGGAAATAACTAAACCTAACTTGTATTTGTTTATTAAACAATGCTCTCTCTCTCTCTCAAAGCCCTCAAATAGAGGAAAAGAGTAGGAATAAAGAGAGTAAAGGGAATCAGTGCATTTCAGGAAAGTGAGATGGGAACTCAAGTACGACTGTTGCCTACCTTGAAACCGCAAGTTCTTCAGCTTTACTGTGCTAGCGTCTTTCATCTTTGATGGGTCATGCATGGATGAGAGGGAGCTGTCTGGATGGAGTCGGTAACCCACACAATAAGGTGATGGAACATCAAAGCTCGTACCACTCTGCAATTAAGCAGTTCAATCGACAGCCAATGCTTATGGCTATAAAAGTAACAAAACAAAGCCAGAGCGAAGCGTAACTGGTAAAAAGACCAGAGATTGTTCAAGCACATACTCTGGCAGTCATTCCCCAATTCCTACGCCCCAGTAATTAGGAAATTTAACGGAGTAGTGCTCTCTCCTGATGCCTAGACAAGAAACGAGATGCTTTCATCTCCTCGGGACAGAACATTCTTCCCTGAAACAGCATCGAGTCAGTGTGTGTTTCCTTCGCAGAGTCTATGATTGTGCGAGTGTGTGTTTGTGTCACATTCATTCTGGAAACAAGTAAACATTTTGGGACGCCTCATTCCATATGTAATCATGCAGAACATTGAACACATATACTGAACAATTACGATTTTTTCCCCAATGCAGTTCCCCCCCAACCCATCCAAGTATACAGCGTGGTTTAAGCTACACAGGACACTAAAAATACCAATCGCACCAGGTTGTACATATTGCTTTGAACCACCAATTTGTTTATAAGTAATGCATGCCACATCGATGATATTATGTTTATACAAAAATAACACCAGTATATATTACGGTGTTTCATATGAATTACAGAAATCAGATGTTCTATTGACTGCTTTCCCCGCAGCCTAATACAATTTTCATTTCACTCAACATCAGAAGTAAATGGACTAAACATATGCAAAATAAGTGGTTATAACTTAATGTTATATTCCAATTTTAAAACAATCTTTTATTTACAGCTGTGGTGTATCATTTCCTCCCGTCCCCAACCAAGCAAACAAGAATTGTCAGACAACTTCAGTAGAGTAGTAATGCGTTAAAATTCAAAGTTATTGCACAACACCTTGAAGCGATTCTCAGTTTACACGATGCGAGAGAGAAAAACATGTGCAGTAACAGAAATTGTTCTAAAGAGCTATTAAAGGGAACTAGAAAAGAAAATTAAAGACAATGGCTTTGATCGTCTCCACCTTTTTCTGCATCCATTCTGATCAAGTAATGAAAAAAATAGAAGCATATTTTAGATCCTCATGGGAAAGAAATATCCAAATATGGATGAAATCCAGTTATAAGTTATTCCAAATGAACAAGAACAAAGACATAAGTCTGTACAAAGCAACACTTTGGCAGAATTTATATAAAGCTCTAACTGGAAACCGTTTGACTGCTTCCACATCAAGTCAAATACATTTGTACTTTCGTGTAACATACAGTAGGTATGCTTCATTTATATCCAGAGCTGTGTATGACAAAAATGTTTTCACAAAGACAAATCAAAGTTAAATGATGACAACACAGAGTATACATACTGTAATAATCTCTATTTTCCATAGCCGACACTTTGCCACTTTAATGGGTGATACAGAAGTCTCACAGAAAATAAATTATGCTTTATCAGTCTAAAAGAACATAGAAGTTGAGCTCGAAAACCTCAAAACCTTTAATTAACATTTCCCACTGTAGTCCAAAAGATTCTAATTAGGTGACAAATCATAATATTTTACACACATCTATCTGGGGCTGCAGGTTTGGAGTACGCTATTCGGGATAAGGCCATTAAATGCTCACTCTCTCAACTCGACCAGACCCCTTGACTTTACAGTAAATGCTTAACTTTCTCAGCTCGGACATTAAATCTGAAACCGCATGTGGTTACAAACATGGCATAAATATTTTTATATATATATAACTGAAATATGTACTCAACTGCTTATTTTGCTAATTTGTCATGTCACCAAACTCTCTGGCCTATACACCTATATTTATATATTTTCCCAAAATATTAAAAAGTACTTAATATAAAAATACAGAACAATTGTAAAAAAGGAACAAAACATTGAGTTTTATATGAAATTCATGCATGCTTCCCCACAATAACATACCATGTTCCACTTAAGCGAAATAACAAAAACTGCCAGTAGGGGGAAGTGCAGCATCAGCCGACTGCCGTGGAACCTTTCCGTAAACATTAAAGTGGTCCATCTAGGTTTTTTTTCCCCTTTTGTCTTTAGGCAGTGACTCTCTGTGTGTTTTTCGAATTTGGTTGGAAATACAAAATAAACTGCAAAAACAATGGGATATAAAAAACAATCTATAAAATATGGCTCTGAGCGAGTAGAAAAAGGTGTAATTTGAGGAATCCATCGAACCTAGATTGGTATGAGCGGAAGGTCGGTCTATGGCAGTAGTATGTTTCAGCTAATAAAAAGCACATGTCGTTGAGGCCGCACTCTTATGAAAACAGTCCAATCTAGTTTGTCATCCAGGTTTCAACAGAGCTCACAGGATCCAACAGAGGCCCTTGCTGCATGCTATTGGGTGTTAGTGTTTTCTTTCTTTCTTTTTCTTTTTTTAAATAGCAAAAGCATGCTTACTACGTGCAGTATCCTTACCCTCACAGGCTAATTTCAGGGATGGGATTTTAGAGCTCTACCAGTGCCGTCTGAGTAACTTGGAGCTTATGTGGAGCACAGCCTGATATTAGATAACAAGGAGAACACCTAACTGCAGAGCTGAGGTGAGAAATAGACTGGATTTGAAAGTACACGCATATAGAACCACCTCTATCGCATTTTTTTTCTAAAGAGGAAACAAGAAAAAAGAAAATCCTATTCATTAGTTGTTATATCCCATAAAGGTTAGTAATGCAATTCCCATTCCCATACAATCAGACACAGATGAACCTAAAGACAGATACATGCACACTATGATGAGGTGCTGTACCTTCGATAAAGTACTTGGTCAATTAGCTGGGCATTTGTTTTGAGGCAATTGAGCATTAACAAGAGACTAGAGATGCCCATTGGGTGTGATTTTGATGAGATGATGTGTAGGATGACCCTCCCTGCCCCCTTAAGAGCCAATCAGGTATTCTTAACTCAGCTATCCAATAAGTTTAGTTTATTATAGTCTTTTATTCTGCTAACGTTCACTATAGCAGCCTTACATCTGTACATATAAAGTGACAGAACACCCAAAATGAGCCTAACAGCATTGTATGTGACAACGTCTGAACACATGACATGAATGTAGTGTCTGAACCACTTAAAATGTCCATTAGAGCATAAAATCATTTTAAAAACTAAAACAACATGGGTAGCTTTACTGCCATGTTTTTCAAACCACCTTAAAACAGAACAAATTATTATCTATTCAAATAGCAACTGAGTGCATGAATATAATCGGCTGTACCAGCAAAAAAAAACCAAAAAAAAAGAACTATGTGACAGAGTCCTGGGACAAATAACAAAAATGATTACAGCATTATACAAGACCAGAGACGTGACAATATAAAAATGAGAAAAATCACAACTGTAGAAGAGATAAAAATGCCAGTGACAGGCTGAGAGAGGGCATTTGCCGCAGCGTCGCCCTCTAGTGTGTAAGTTAGGCCATGCGTCACATGGGCTGCAGCACAGCCGCATGTACTTACAGAGCGCTGCTGCTGCTGCCGACACAGTGCAAGTCAAGAGGGGCAGAGGGGTGGGGAGGAAGGAGGAGAGGAGAAAGGGATCGTAGTCGCCCCATCGGCCGCTGTAGGTGCTGCTGTCTCTCAGATGTGTATCAGCAGAGCTCCATCGGAGGAGTGGTGCACAGGTTTTAAAAACAGAACAAACAAAACAAAACAACAAAAAAAACGATGATTTCGGGGCAGGAGAATGATGGGAGGTTCACACGGAGAATTCATGGCTGTGAAGAGAGCGGCCTGGGGGTTTGCCGCCACCTCCGTTTCTGGAAGAGGAAGGGAGGTGCTCAATCTCTACACAGTCCTCGTCTATCGTGGGGACGCGGGATTCCTCCTCGGAGAGGGGTACAAACTCAGGGTGGGACATGAAGTTATGGATGGAGCTTCTTGATTCTGGCTTCTCTAGGCCCTCGTATAGGGAGCTACGGAATGCGTTCACCACCTTAATCTGCAGCGAGGAGTTGGGAGACAGAAAGAGAAGGAATTAGTGGGATCGTATTGGCACGGGGTCCGCTTCAGAGCGGGATGCGCTGGATCTGGAGGGGAACAAAAATATGGTCAGCGGTGGGAGATGATTTCATTTCCACAACAGCACTCAAGCTCCTTATGAAATATCAAACAAACAAAATCCAACAAATAAACAACAGCACAGACAGTTGAATACAGAAACAGGGATAAAATGAATACAAACCACGACTGTGATGCAATTTCCTATTTGGGGCAAGTGAATGAGGAAATCAGGCACAGCATAAAACCGTAAGTGGGACACATCCATATCAATCACAAGCTTCGAAACGGTACAAACAAAATGACCACAATCACAGAACCACTGCAAGACGAGACAGACATGCAACCAATGTTTGTTCAATAAGCTATTTAGGAGCCAAAAATGGCAGATGTTCAGCATCGCTTTTGGGTTTATGAAAGCCTGTCAGTAGAGGTGGGCGATACAGCTGTCGGCACGCTACACTGGTAGAAATGGTCAACTGCAGAAATAGAGTATTGTGTAAAACGCTGCCGCATGGTAAAAAAGAAATGTGCCAAATCACATTACATTCAGGAAGGAAAGAAGGGAAGTTACTGTTGCTAACTCCAGATTTCCTAAAAATGTTTGTCTTCAACCATGGCAAGAAACAATCAGATTGTGTGAATTACTACAGTGAATATTAAATGACATCTAGATGAACTGACTATTTATAACCAGCAAGTGCCACTAAAAAGGATGCTACACTTCATCCAAAATGTCAAACTGGGTTTATAAAAAGTTTACTTCAGAACTGCTTTTAGTTTAGTTTTGTTTGAATTAATAAAAGCAATGCTGAGGAGACTTTAATAGATTTTTAATTGATTAATTACTTGTTGCATCGCAATGGGCATCAAAAGTGGCTCAACTCATCTAAAAGTGTGCATTTTTAATAGAGGCCAACTGCCAGGAAAAAGATCCCATTTATTTTCTTCACAGGGAAACTGATTTTGAACAATCACTTCTGAACTATTAAAGACAGAGCTACTGTTGAAGCCATCAGCCCACATTATTTCAACTTGTTTATTTAAATTATCATGTTTAACATGGGAGTTGCTGGTCAAAACTACACTACTCATGATTCTGCAAAAAAGTAATAGACAAAGTCAGGTGCTGTATTCTTTCAAATGCGTATTTTGCAATAAATGTATATAAAATATATATATATATTTTTAAATACAATCAATATCTTTAAGTCAGTTGTTTTATATTTATCCATTGTTTTGATTATGTCATTCACAATGCTTCATGGGTTTTTTAAAATACTTTTTCTTTGAATTAAATAACATCATAAATTTCACTGTTCCTCACACAAACCTACTGCATGGCTTTAGAAGAAGTCTCATGGACTATTTTCATGGTGCTTTTTAATTTCATTTTTTGCTTTAACACCCACCCCTACCAGTAGGAGTTCTGCTTTTCCAAAAGAGAGAGGTAAGACCAGTGAAGGGGTGAAATCAAGAGGGCACGGAGAAGAGAAGAACTGTCAGGAGTTGGAAAGAGAACAGAGAAGATGCTTTCAAATAAGTGAAACAAACACGCATGCACACATCTATAATAAAAGCGCAATTCCGATTCCTGGTTTTAATGCTTCATAAAAGCACTTACTAATGAGTATGATGGTTATAAAAGTCTACAGACTTAATATGCAGACCAATAGAGAGGATGTCAGAACTTTTGAGAGGTATGCTGCTTTACATGCAGGAATGCCAACAGAAACATTTTGTGGTAACGAGTTTTGACAGGCCATCATGCGTGTATAAGAGGGATCCTTGCTCAGCGCTGTACAGTCAAGTTACCATTACCTTTGCTTGAGGATGCCATTTATTTTGAAATGAATTTGAATTTTGTGGAAATCAATAAGACATTTTTTTTTATGTTTACTAAAAACAGTAAAAAGGAAGGTTTTTCCCCCAAAATATAAACTATTAGGAATACAAGTAGACAGAGCATTAAAATGCATAGCATGTGCATTCTGGGTCTCTCAGAGACCTCTCTCTGTGCTGTGTGGTAAAACGTCAGAAACTAATCTTGCTCTATTGCAATTTTTATGGCTTCAACCTTGAGAACAACCATAAAGACAGATGTGAATTGGAGTAACTTGTTCCGCGAGGGTCTGGAGGATTTTCCCCCTTGGTAACAAACAAGTCTGAAGAACCCTCTACCCTCATTGAGACAGATGTGAATTGGAGTAACTTGTTCCGCGAGGGTCTGGAGGATTTTCCCCCTTGGTAACAAACAAGTCTGAAGAACCCTCTGCCCTGCCAGCTCAGCCAATCAGCAATGGCTTGGTCTGTTCAATCCCTGTTTATTTCTCAGGTTTACATTCTTGTACCATGTCCTGGAAGACAACAGCCTTTATTTCAATTGGTCTAACTATTTCTGCCTTAGTTTAAAATAGCAGAGTTGAAATACCAACGCACCAACACAGAAGAGAGAGGAAGTGATCAGAAGAACCGAATGTATAAAATTACCCCCCGATTTTCTCCTTCAAGCCAGAGAAAACTTTGCACATAAAACCAAGCTGCATGTCAGATGTTGTGATACCGAAAACTGATCTCACTGCGTCCTGGAAGACAACAGCCTTTATTTCAATTGGTCTAACTATTTCTGCCTTAGTTTAAAATAGCAGAGTTGAAATACCAACACACCAACACAGAAGAGAGAGGAAGTGATCAGAAGAACCGAATGTATAAAATGAATGTCTGCTAAGTCACTAAATGCCATCAGCCTGTGAAAAATGCAGGAACAGCAGGCTGAAGTCATTTGTGAAGCATCTACGCTCTCCTCATAAATTCTCACAGACCTCGTCTTGAATCACTAATTTGGATGACTAAAAAGATGACTGTAGACCTAAAATTATATTCCTATGGTTCAAAACTATAAGTGGTCACTTGTATGGTGGAAATAGTAATTGGTTTTATTTACAACAACATCATTACAGCTATAAATGTGAATCTAGAGGATTCCTCAGATAAGTAACAGATTTATTTATGGTGTAGCGAATGCACATATGAGCCCTACACCCTTCCAAGTACTCCCCATAGTGAGTAGGGGTCATAATGATTCTCTCTTTCCCATGGAATTCACCCTCTTTTTCCCTTCTCCAGCTCACTCTCGCTCTCGTTTTAACACCAGGCCTCTCCCTCTTTTCACAACTGCTTTCACACACACACTCACTCACACTCTTCTCTTTGTCTTTCTCTCTCCTTCGTTTGCAGCCCCACTCTCACACTCATGCTTTCAGCCCCCTCATCACACCTGGTGTCTTCTGCTCTGACACGCTATACTGTCTCCATCTCTCTTCATTGATATTCTGGAAGGAACTAGGAGTCATGGGCTGTTTTTTCCTGCTTTCCTTATTTAGGTTGCATCAGTAGTGCTTTTTGCATTACACATCTGAAAGTGTGTGTTCACGCTCAAGGCAAATATAGGGTCAGAGGGTTCATTTCACCATAGATGGGAGCAATCCAAATATACAGACCGCTGGTAGAAAATTAAAGGTTCAATTAGGTTCAATCATTTTTAAAATAACTATGTGAAATTGGACAGATGCATTATCCAGCTATATCCTGCCAAGCAGTGCATTAAAATGTTAACTGGGTTTTCCACAGAACTGTGAAGTGTTCAGAGTGGTTTTTAGTATTGATATGCAGTAGCTAGGACGTTGGTAGATGGTAGGCTCAAATCAGATTATATGAGAATTACAAAATATGTAATTAAACAGTAGTAGTAGTAGTATTGCTTGCACATACAGTATGGTTATAATACTAGCCACAATAACTGGGAGTTACTGTACATTTTCAATATATTTGAAAACGGGGTTATTATTAGCTATTGTTGCAATTAAAAATAAAACGATTAAAACGGTTTTAATTGAAATAAATCTGAAATATAATAAAATATGAATATTTTATAAATGAATAAAAATTGAAATAGATACATTAAAAATGTTGCCTTGTCAACTAAATAGAATATGTTTAAGGTGAACCAATACAATACAATTACTGTTTATTAAACAACTCAAATACAATTAAAACTCAATCAACCTAACTAGCACATAAAACAACCTAAATAATAAACAAAAAAATGAATAAAAAAAAATAAAATTATATACACAATACATTACTTTTAATAAAAACTATAATAGCATATAAAGAAAACTAAAATAACGCAGAGTAACTGAACGCTTAATTCCAGGTAAGATCTCGAATAAGTCTAAAAACCTCAGATTTACTTCCATCACATGCACCATTTGCTAAAAGCCTTTTTAAAGGGTCCTCCTCAGTGAAGCAATTCAGTTGCTCACTTTTATTTGTGACGATCCTATATGCGGCGTCCCCTTCAAGGGCGTAAAAAACACCATTTGGAATTCGTCCAGAGACAGGCAGAGAGTCAGAGAGAAAAGGGAAGAGTTGTAACGTGACTGAAGTACAAAGCATAAAAGTGGGAAAAACAAGAAGGACCGTGAATGGCCTGCATCTGTCTCTCTGTCGGCCGGTTCATCAGACAGTGAACGTGCCGTGCAGGTTGAAAACATAAAAGGCTGTGCAGAGATGCATCAAAATTGTGCAAACACCAAGGTCATCAAAAAGAAATCTGGTCCAGTCCAGTCCAGAGTAGCACACAGTGTCCTTTGGCTTTTAACCCCACTCTGTTCAAGCATAGGAATAGGCTCATTGAGTAATTTGATGCCTGCACTAAAACCAGTTTTCAGGCTTCGACTGATCATATGTTCAGATCTAACGCTTCATTCCAACTAGGTGTGACATGTCGAGTTTCAGGTCTCAAGTAATTTTTCTTTCATCACTGACAGCTAAATGCTGTGCAAAGTGACAAAATCGTAAACCAGAGCATATTTGATGTATAAAGTACAGTTATTTAGAGCTGTACGGTGTTCTTTTTTCAAAATAAATTATAGAAAAGTGTGCACATCCAACCCAAATTGCAGGAAACATCTATAAATATCCGCACACTGACCTTATTGCCTGATTGTACAACGATAAATAACACCATACAGCAGAATTCATGAAACACAAGAAGAATAATTTCTGTGCAAACTGCTTGTAAAACAAAGCATAAAAAGACAGACTTTAATTCTGATTGTATTTAATGAATGTGGCCAAATGTGTTGATATTTCCTTGTCATATTTCCTTGGTTTTGGCCAATTAGATATCACTGTAGGCTGCATTTGACAGCAAAACACATCAAAAATTGTAAGTAGCGTCCATC